TGAGTCTGTGTCTCTTGAAACACAACTCAAAGGCTTCTCTTATTTTACCCTGGCCACTCCTGGCTTTAAACAGGGTGAGGAAATGCAGTTTTTAGCTTTTTGCTTCTATAAAAGTAACAATCTATAGCAAGGAAGAAAAACATGAACATTGGCTAAACAAAAGTTTTGTCCTCAGAGGGGAAAAAAAAGTGCAAATATTTGCACCTGTAGCTAAAATTTTTCTGGATGTGAAAAAAGAGAACATTGCACTAGTTAACATCATATAGACTTGGAATTTCAGTGAACTACTGTGATAAGATCATTAGAAGGGTATCACAGAAACCTTGAGAAGAGTGGTGGGTGACTTAATAGTGTCACGTGAAGTCAGAGGAAATGCAGTGACCCAACTGGCACATAGAAGAATGTCCAGCAGCTCTGCAGGCTGAGCAGAAGTTGGAGATCATTGATTCATCCTGGGATAAAACTACATGGTAGTGGGATTTGTGTAGCAGTGTTTAGAAAAGCAGACATAGGAGGATGGCTAAATTCATTCAATATTGTATACATCGGGGGTGGGTGACGCCAAACCAGAAAAAACTTCAGTGAGAAATTATTTTTGGCAGGAATGCATGGAAAAGGCCTATAAGAAGTGAGGGATTTTTATTCAGACCTTGAAAGGCAGGCAGGCAGACTTTTCTGCTGGAAAAGGGAGGAACACTCAGCGAAAGAATGTTAAAAGAGACAGGATCAGATGTGGGAACAGATAGGTCTCATTGAAAGTCCCACTAGACCAATTTGGCTGAGCAGGAGAGCTAATGTGAATCATAATGCGGGGGGCTGTTGAAAGAGTGCATCTGATAAAGTCCGAACAAAGTACAAATTCTCAGCTATGACTTCCAAGACATATCTTCCATGCAGTGAGGATCTGTTGAAGGTTATTGTGCAGGAGAGTGACTTAAGATTAATGTGGTGGCAATTTTCTATAAGAATGAGAGGCAAAGTGCCAGCAGGTTTAGGTGGCTGGCAAAGGAACTCAACATTTAAGGAACCATGAGAGAGGAAAAGAAGGGGCTGAAAAGCAGTAGACAGAAAGTCACCGTCTCCTCTTTGCTCTAGGTGTTTTTCCTGTTATAGAACTCTCACTGTCTGTGGTAAATATTTCCCAAATATTTGTCTTATCCCAAATATTTTTTTTTCCTTTTTACTCCTTTCCTCCTACCTTTTTTCCTTCCCCCTCCCTCCCCGTTTCCTCTCTGTCTTGGTCCCTGTCTCTTAATGAATTAATTAATTCAACACTTACTGAGTATCTACTATTTGCATACTGGACATCATACAAAGCACTGGAGAGTCACAGAAAAGAGTTGTATTCTCCTAGGAAAGATAAAAAATAAGGGAACCAAGCAGGACTCAACAAGTAACCAAATGGAAGCAGGTGCCAGATTTTCAGGAATGCACAAAACCCTACTTCTCAGTTTTGGAGAAGGTAATTTTTTTTTTTTTGCTTAAATGCTTTTCTTGGTACATTTTAGGTATACAATATGTTTACATTTATCATTGGGTGTTTGTACCTGTACATGATGTATCTTGGTTCTTATTTTTTCCCCATTACCTGTGTGCCCTTCACCCCTCCACCTTTCCCTATTTACATAGAATTTGTTTACATTTTTTTCATAATTTTTCCTTTCCCTTCTTTCCTTTCCTTTCCTCTTCCCCTTCTTCTTCCCCTCCCCTTTTGGACCTTTCCCTCCTATTTCAAGTTATCAATTATTCATTGTAATCATTTTAATCTTTATTTACATTTTCAGTTTCTCACACTAGAGAAACTATTCATGTTTGTTCTATTTATTCATGTTTGTCCTACATGTGTGTCCTATTTATTTCACTTAAGAGTATGTCCTCAATATGCATCCTTTTAGCTATAAATGTCTCTAGTTTCTTGTTCTTTGTGGCTGAGTACTACTCCATTTTATTAAAAAACCACATCTTCTTTATCCAGTTTTCAGTTGATGAGCACTTGGGCTGTTTCCAAGCTTTCGCTATTACAGAGTGTGCCGCTATAAACATGGGTGCACATATATCACTGTGGTATGATTCTTTTAATTATTTTGGGAAGATACCCAGCAGGGGAAGAGCTGGGTCGAATGGTACCTCTATCCCTAGTTCTTTGAGGTGTCTCCACACTGATTTCCACAGTGGTTGCACCAGTCTGCACACTCACCCACCAACAATGGAGAAGGGTTCCTTTCTCCCCACACCCCCGCCAGAATTTGTTATCGATTGATTTCTTGATAGCAGCCATTCTTTGTGGGGTGAGGTGGAATCTCAGTATTGTTTTCATCTGCATCTCGCGAATGACCAGTGATGTTGAACATTTTTTCATATATTTATTTGCTGCTTTTACTTCTTTGTGTGAGAAATATCTGTTCATTTCAAATGCCCATTTTTGAATTGGGTCTTTGAATTTAGGGGGTTTGGAGAAGGTAATTCTTGAACCTAAGAAAGCTATCAGTCAGCAGGATAGGAGGACATGGAGGTGAGTAAGAGGAACAAAGTACCAAACTCAGGGTTGTCTGGGGCCTATGTCATAGGTCATGTGTGGGAATGAGAGATGTAAAGTTGGTGGAGTTGGCAGTTTAGGCTTTATTCCAAACCATTTCGAGGCTACTGAAGGATTTTATGTAGAAGAACGACAGATTATTCCAGAGTGGTAAAACTGTGGATTTAGTCTCAGGCTCGAGAGTCTGAGGTATGACTTGTGGTTCAACCACTTGGTAGCTGTTCAACCTTAGCCAAGTTACCTAATCTCTTAGCCTCAATGTCTTCTGTGAGATAACATAAATATACTATCACATTCATAGGTTTTTTTGAAAGAATTAATTGATGTATCATGTGTAACATTTTAGCACAATGTCTGGCATATAGAAAGCTCTTGAAAACTGAGCTACTCTTACTAGCACCTCAGTCCTCAGTCCTATTGTACAAACTGCTTAAGATTTTAGGAACACCATTCATCTTGGAATGCAAGATGGGCTGGAGACAGGAGGAAGCTGGGGAAGGGAGGTCAGTCAGGTAGGTGGCCTGTGGTTTAATCTGGGGAAGATATTCCATTTTCTGTTTATGCCTCACTGTCACTGAGATGAAATTTATTTTTAAACATTTGTAGAATAAATGAAAAGGAAGACTGAGCAGACTGCAGTGATTGATTAGCTGAAAGAAATCATGGAGTGAATAAAGGATCACTGCAGGCTTCAAGCTGCTGTGACTGGAGACCTCTCACATTGTCGATACAAGGAAACCTTTTCCCACCCCTGGGCTCTGTAACTGAGGCCACTGCACCCTAACATCTTTGGCGGTCAGACGTTTTCAATTTCATTTGCTTGCTCAGTGACTGTGCTGTGTAGGTCAGATGCTTTTTTCCAGAATGCCTTGTCATAACCACAGTGAAAGCATATTGGGTTGAGAACCTTCACGTTTTTGAGGTCGCAAACTCAATTATGAATTGGGTTTGAATGTGTCTCTTCCTGCTTTCAAAGCTTCTTTCATTTCGAGATCATGAAGATGTCTCAGGAAAGACTTAAGCCTCTGTGCCTCTCTTTGGCAGCACTGTTAGAATCCTACTGTTTTAAAATTAATTAGAGTTTGTAACAAG